GCGGGGGGCTCGGGCTTAAAGACACACTCACCCTGCCTCGGCCGGCCGGATGGGCAACGCCGGGTCGCTGCCCCCCGGCTGGGAGGGAAAGGCGGGCCCCACCTTCCCGGCCGTGCTTCCTGCCTCCACCCGGAGCCCGGACCCCTCCGCCCTTGCAGGGAGGGAAAGTTTGGGGCGCGGGTAGACTGCCCAGGAAACCAGTTCCTCTTCCCATGTCATTAGCTCTGCTCCTTCTGGAAGATGCCCAACCCACCCCCACCACCCCCATCCAGCCTCCCTGGCTGGAGAAAGAAGCGACGGCTCTCGGCACCACACCCCCAGCCTGACTCCGGCTCCCCGGGGCTCGCCCTAGGGAGGGCCTGGCCCACACCGGCCACAAAAAGCAAAAAGCCTCACTGCCTGCCACCAGGCTACCCTGTAAGGAAGGACAGGGTGGAACCGCCACTGTGGGTTTCCGAGACTGTAGCTCTTACCGGGAACAGAGCTTTCTGCTGCGAAGCGGCTAGTGGCTGGTGGCTTTGAACGGCTGACCTTGTGGTGAATGCAACCCCCTGCAGGTCTGGCTCACTCTGGCCCTCCCTCATTAAAGCCAGACCCAGCCGGGACCCAAGGCAGGAATCTGGGCTCCGGAATCCACCTCGCTCTCGGCTGTGCGACCTGAGCCAGACGATTGGCCTCTCTGGGCGACTTCCTGCATGGTCCGCAGCCCATTGACCAAGAGCTTCACCCAAACCTTGACTTGGGATGTCCCCGGACACGCGCGCACTTAGAACCTGGGGGCGGCGGTGAACTGGGGAACAACTCAGAAGGAACCCCAGGAGAGGAGGGAGCCCTCGCCCACAGCTCCGCAATGCTCGTCCTTTAAGAGGGTCCACCCTCGCCTCCCTGGCTCCGCAGGGTCCAGCGTGCACCCACCCCTCGGCCCTCTGTTCACACGCCCCGCGGGCACCCACGTGCAGTCCAGAACCTCTCTGCCTGTTGCTTCCTCTTGGACCCACGTTTTGTTGTGCTGGGTGAGTCCCTCCCTCCCTCTCCACACATCACACTCTGGAAGTCCTCTTCCTCACCTGGACCACTGGACTCACACCCCCCCACCCCTCCCAGCCCTGGAGATGTGGATGGCAGCGGGACTTGGACAAGCCCCGGAAAGTCCAAGATGAAGGCAGCGTGGCCCAGAGGACGCTGGCCTTGGAGAATGGCCATGCCGGGCCTCTGACCTTTCATAACAAGGGGACTGGTTCTCATGTGGAGCGCTCTGACCATGCCTGTTGAAAACCGCACTGCCATTGAGATGATTCCGACTCACAGTGACCCTGTAGGACAGGGGTTACTGCCCATGTGGACTTCCCAGACTGCCAATGTTAATGGGGGTAGAAAGCCCGTCTTTCCCTGTCAGCCACACTGACCTTGCAGTTAACAGCCTGTGGGTAACCGCTATGCCACCCTAGTGTTGCTTTAAGGGCTTATTTTATGAGGCAAGGATTTTTAACAGCCTTATTTTATGGAGGAGGAAACAACAGAGGCCCAAGGAAGGCTTGTCTTCAGCGCCAAGCCTCCTCCTGCCCCAACTAATCTGAGTGAGGAAGGGAGGGGCACAGAAGGCCAGTAGTGGCCTTGGGGAGCAGACCAGCCCTTCAGGATCCTGCAGAGCGAGGCTCAAAAAGGGCTCACATTTTACTGGCTGTGTGACCTGAACAAGTGCCATCACCTCTCTGATCCCCAACTGCCTCATCTCTAAAATGACCCCCCACCCTCCTTCAAAGAGGTGTTTGCACAGCCCGTGGGCGCTAGGATACGGAGCATGTTGGAAGGCGCTGTCCTTGCACACCATTCCCTTCCTTCTCTGGCCATAAACCCGTATCCCACTGTCCCACACTGTCAGATTGTCCAACTGGGAGTGGTTATGGGCTAGGCTGCTAACCTCCAGGTCAGCAGTTGGACCTCTCCAGGAGAGGTCACCAGCCTCTCCTCAGGAGAAAGGTGGGGCTTTCTATTCCCATACACAGTCTCAGAAACTCACAGGGGCAGTTCTACCCTGTCCGATCAGGTAACTATGGGTTGGTGGAGACTCGATGGCAGTGAGCTTGGAACTTGGAACCCTTGCCATCCTGAGGAGCCTGCATTCCAGGATATGCCCCCCTGGAATGGTGATGGTCGGGACCAGGTTAGGGGCACACAGCATGCACATAGGCACACACACATGAGCACACTGACTGCTTCAAGTCCCCTCTCCCTCCTCTGACACCCCAGCAGGTACTGTGTCCTTGGCCGCCTGTGAGCTCCTGGAGCCAGGTCTGACCACACCTTTGGTCCCCAGCGAAGTGCCTGGCCCATCCTCGTCCATTCATTTGTATTCGCCATGTACACACCAGGTGCTCTTCTGAACCCAGCAGAAAAGCCCCAGGCAGAAGCATCCTCTGGAGAGCCAGCCACCGGGGTCCAGCTGGCATAAGCCCACAAAGTGAGGGGCTCTGGGCTCGGCAGTGTCTCAGGGAAGGGCCACAGACTGCATCCAAACCATGGCTCTTGGCCTGCCCCCAAGAGGATCTGCCAAGTTCCCACTCAGAACAGCAAGTGCTGTCTCCTGGCTGCCCACTGGCCTGGGCCTGGTGCTTCCCCCAACAAACATAAGCCTTTAGGATCATGGCCCTAGGAGCAGAAGGGGCTGAACACTGGCCTTGGTAAGAGCTGACTAAAGTCTGCCTGAACTGCAGCAGGGGCTCCTGGGAAGTCTGGAGAGCAGAATTCTGAGAAAGGTATATTGGAAAGGCCTGTACTCCCAGAACTGGACCTCAGAAACTAGACAGCTCAGGGCCTATCCCTCAGGACTCCCTGCTCAGCTCCCACCGCCGACCCTCAACCCATATGCACAAGCACCCGAAACACCACATCACCGTCTAAGCAGACCAGAGCCCTGCGGGTGGTCCTGTCTACCTGTGTGTTGGTGGGTATGTGAACTCACGGTTTCAGGGGTGAGAAGAAGCGTCTGAGTGTTGGTGATCGTCTGGCAGGCGAATGAGATTGTGAATATGTAGGGTGTAGGACTGGGCAGCACAGACACACCCCAAACCCACCATCACGGTCCAAAACCAGATGAGCTGCCTTTATCAAGAACGAGTGACCCCGTTCCTTGTGAGTTACTCTCGGTCCAGGAGATTGGCCTGGGCTCCCCTGCAGGTCCACAAGGTGCTGGTGCTCTGGGGAGTGGGCTCCAAGTGAGTCCCTGTGCAGAAACAAGCTGTGAAAACCTCAGCTGCCCTCGTGGAAACACTCAGGCCAAGAATTATTTCCTAACAGGGACAAACGACTCGCCAGAAGGCAGGGGAGCTGGGGCTGAGCCAGCAAAGGTGAGACGTGACAAAAGATGATCTCCTCTGCTTCCTATTCCGCTCAGCAGCCACAGTTTGAGCCACCTGAGTGAGCCCTGAGGAGTGGCAACATGAGGGGAGGGAGCCAGCCTCGCCTGGCCCCGCATGACCACACTGGGGTCCTCCTGAATGGGTGTCCTGTGGCCAACAGTCTTTCCCCGAGTCAGGTGATCTCTGAGTACCTTATCCCTGCCGCCTGAGTCCCATTAAAGGTGATCTCCTGCTGCCTGCCCTTTGCAAACCAGGGTCCTCCCCCCACCCAGCTGCCTTTTAGACCCAGGGCTCTGAGACCAGGACCCAGCCAAAGACAGTAGCCAGGGAGCCACTCTGACCCCTGGTGACACCAGACGTGTCAGAGCAGAACTGTGCACTACAGGGTTTCTTTGCTGTGGCTGGTTTTTCTGGAAGTAGATCTCCAGGCCTTTCTTCCAAGTCGCCTTTGGATCAACTCAAACCTCCAACCTTTAGCTTAGCTGCTAAGCACATGAACTGTTTGCACCATGACCCAAGAACTCCCAGGATGTGGAGCTAAAGACAAAGGTGGGGGGTTGGTTTGGTTTTGAACTCCTAAATCTTTTCATTTATTTCAAATGACATTTGTATTAAAATATATTCGAAATTGTATTTGTTTCATACGATTACACTTTATCCTTAAAATTTCTTAGATCGGGGCTTGGCAAACTATGACTCACAGGCCAAATCCAGCCCACCACCTATTTTGCATAAAGAAAGTTTTATTGGAACGAAGCCAGCCTATCTATTTGTATCTTGTAGAGACATGGGCTTTGCCTAGGACAGACCTCGGCCTGAATCTTACCTCTATGGCTATATGACCTTACTACTATGAGTTGAATTGTGCCCCACCTTGACCCCCGTGACAAAAAAATTAGTGTCGAACTTCTAACCCTGGAACCTGTGAAAGCGTCCTTGTTTGGACATGGAGTCTTTGGAGGCGTCACCTGCTGGCATGAGGTCATGCTGGCGTGAGTGGGTCGTGGGGCTCTTTGTCACGCATACTTCAGATATGTGGTCAGGAGAGAGCAGTCCTGGAGGAGGGCATCATGCTTGGTAAAGGGGAGGAGCAGCAAACAAGAGGAAGGCCTTCTACCAGATGGGTTGACTCAGCGGCTGCAACCATGGGCTTAACCGAGCACAATGGTGAGGATGGTACAGGCGGCAGCTGCAAGCCAGGGAAAGCCTGTGGTGACCAGAAGCAGGCAGGGACCCGAAAGGGTCTCTCCTTT